TTTGTCAAAAGGAGTTTCTCCAAGTGATTAAATCAGTCACACTATCAAATGCAACCTGCAGCTTTCTTTCCTGTTTACTTTTAAAAGCAACACAGATTTTTTTGTGCTATCAGCCTCTTTCATGGTATCTCACTCAGTGCATCGTATCTTACATTTCTATTATATAAAGTACATTTTAACAGGATTAGCAGGATGATTACAATTACTAGTTATGCAGGCTTGTTATGTGTTGTGTTTAAGATTGAAAAATCTGGAGTATATGAAGCTTCTAAAAGACATGTTTTCTTCACTAATACGGGCCTCCTCCTAAATCATGAACTTTAATCAAATCCAAAAAGGTATACAAATCACATAACCTGAGGGAAAGCATTGTTATGGTGCGGATGCTCTATTATTTTCAAAAAAGGGTTTCCTACATAAAGATGAAAAGCCTATATAACTAAATGCAATCAAATTTTCTAGAGGGCTGTGAGAAAATGGTGAGAAAATGGGATCTAGTTTAATTAGTTTCAACTGCCCATGCTTTGTATTCCAAAACACACAAAAAAATACTACTCCAACATCTTTAATATAAATGTAATGACTTATGTAAAATTGAATGTTTATATATAACTTATATAACATGGACTATTTTTTCTTTAACAATAACTGAAAGCGCTCATAATGAAGTGTTTTATGAGTTATTAGAAGTTCTTTTGGCAACAGAAAATGTTTTTCACCTAACTAAAATAATTTCCAAAACATAGAAAGAACAGGTAAAGTGTATTGCTACCATTTTCAGTTCAAACAGTAGTTCAAGTCCTGTATTACTTTTAAAAACATACATTTAAACTTTCCTAATGCATAAAAATCTCTTAGTTTTTGACCTTCAATCTTTTTTTTTATTTTGTCTGATTTGCATCTCCACATGAATTAAAGGAAAAGTCTGATCATATTCAGAATTCAAACATCTGAAAGTACTTTAAATATGAATTTATTACATACAGCTCAATAAATTATGTTTTAATTAAGAGTAGTTTTCATTGTCAAAGAACACTACTGCCACCTACTGGTTTGTGACATCATGGTGCGGTATCAGCTGTTAATCAAGTCCCAGTGCTGTATCTGGTGTTTTTTACAACACACTATTATCCAAGTCATCTTGAAAACATTCTTCTTCGAAAGATTGGCTGCATATGACGTGTTTTTTCTCTGGCCAGAAGTTCAATGGCATTTTTTTTTTTTTTTTCACTTTTACCTGATGTATCACAACATCCAACTACCAAGCACATGGGCATTGTCAGTTTAACTCTTGTTGATTGTTGTTGATTGCAGATGTGTCTAATAGTTCCCATTGATTTTGCTTGCAAAGCGGGGAGAATAGCGCTAGGCTTACCGCACCGTGACGTCACTGCCGGAAGATGTCAGGACAGAGGTGTTACTATATTTGGGCAAAAATGGCTGCTCCCGGACTCAGCGATCATGACGAAAATGATTGTTTTATTATTTTTTTTACTGATTAACAAGAAATTAATTAAATCCCCACAAACATATTAGTTTTAGGTCTAAATAATGATCCATTGATTATTCCTGGACTTTTACTTTAAAAAATTATCTCCCTTTGTAAAATCTGAAAGAAGGAATGCAGTAGTTATATGATTTCATTAAACTCCTACAACCACAACACTGAAACTTGTCTGTGTGAAGATTGCAGACTTTCTCAACTTCATGACTAAAATAATAGTCTATCCTTGTTCCCAACTTGGTCTTGGTACCCTCAGCTTGATGGCTGCCTGATAACAAGAGATAGATTTCAGACTCCTCTCCTGTGGAACCACCTACCATTTTTAGCCTGTGAGACAGATATCCTGTAAACTTTTAAGGCTAGGCTTAAAACTTTCCTTTTTGATAAAGTCTATAGTTGAAAACAATGATGTTTGCTTAGTCACTGGGTCAGCAGAGAAGTGGGAGAAGGTAGATTGAACGGCACAATAGGGCTGGGAAGAATTCAATCTACAGTAGAAGGATGTCTTCTTGAGTTGACCTTTTTCATCACTTATCCAAAGTAGTTAGGTAATCCTGAGATATATGTTACATTTATGCTGCTATACACTTAGGCTGCTGGAGAATACATGGACCATTTTTCCTCATTCTGCTTCATTCTATCTCTATTCTCCTATTCTATGGAATTTGCTCGTTCCGCACCTAACTTTATGTTCTGTTTTTTCTCGTCATAGTACCTTCATCTGGTCTGTCCCTGTTTAACTGTGACACCGTCCTGGAATGAAATATCAGCCGGGTCATGCCATCAACACCTTTGTTTGTCAATGTTGAAGTTTGACATTTTTTTTCAGTGTGGTCCTGTTTCTTTTACTGTGACTAACTGTATGTGCTCCCTTTCATTCTTTGACATTGGAGCTTGTTTGCCTGGCTGTGTCTTTCCCAGTCGGGGCCACCTGTTGAGCTAGTTAACAGTTACCCTTTGCATATCCACTTCTTTCTGTATGTCTGCTGCTGTCTCCTTGAACCCCAGACTGCCTGGGTAGATGGCTGCTCACACCGAGCCTGGTTCTGCTGGAGGTTTCTTTCTGAGAACAGGGAGTTTCTCCTCTCCACTGCTGTTGTATGCATGCATGCTAGGTGTGAGGGACTGTTGAAAAAAATCGTTGCCACAAGCTCATCCAGTAGGAGAGTGTCCTGCTAGTCAATGACTGGATGCAATCAGCTGTTTGTTCTTGATATTTATAATCAATCTGACTGTACTGTTTATGTAAAGTGTCTTAAGATGGCATGTTGTGAACTGGTTCCATATAAATAAACTGAATTGAATAGATACTTCATCACAGCACAACACCCTGATAGCTTGCCTTGGATGGAAATGATGACTGAAATTGTGATACAAACTTAAGACATTGATAGACAAACAGTCCAATCACCCTCACAAGGTCTTAGTGAGCTGTTGTCAAGAGTGTTTTGATGGAATGCATCTATACCTGATCCAGGTGCAGGATACTGAACACTGATGCTGTCTTAACTGCCGCCATCAGCCAAATTGTACTAGAATAACATATACTATTGTGTTACCTATTTATGGAATGAATAATAAGACATTAATTTTAGATCATTCTCTTTTCATTTTTTGAAGCACAGCCACCCCTCTGTTTAACAAGTTTAATGTTGCAAATATTGTATTTTTATACCATCTAATCTTATCTAAGATGCTAAATTGTATATAAAGACTGCTGTTTAACAGCTATTAGTTCACAACATAGTCATAGAATCACATTTACATGAATAATAAGGCTCTTGCTGTGAAGGCATTAAGCAGAGTAAAGGCTAACACAGACAAATCCCAGATATTACAAAGGATATACTGCAAATCCTTCAGAAAAACAATAGTTAGTTTGCATTTTTTGGTCACATATAAACAACACACTCATTCACTTTCTTACAGGGGAGGGATGGATTTTTTATTAGTCATCAGGACTTGAAGCATCCAAGTTCAGAATCATTCAGTTTTGGCACCCTGAAAGATATTAGACTATTTTTAAATATATATTCTCATTTACAACAACACAATGTTGAACCAAAGAAGCAAGAGAACCAAGATAAAGATAAGGCTGTATTTGAGTTAAACTTAACTTTGAAAACAAAATGAAATGAAAAGGCAAGGTTTTCTTCTCTTAAAAAATAGCCTTGATACATTTCCAAAGTTCTGTTTTAGTTCCAAGCAAATATAATTCCCCTCTCCAAACCCCTGACCCCCCCTACCCAACAAACAGGAAGAAAAATGGAAGAGACACAGTACTGTAACAGTTATTTCTATTTTTTGGCTGCCCTTACATCATACCATTGTCTAATTGTTCAAAAAAGATAGGTTTCCTTAAAAGCAGATTTAATGATTTTGATCAGCATGCATGTAAATTGATACTTCATTTTTCTAGAGTCACTTCACTTCAGCTTGCTGGTAGCTGTGTTCTCTCACGCACTACCTTGTGTCTTTGGCAGTAGTGGCGTTTCATTGTCCACAGTCGTCTTCAAGTTTGCAGAGAAATGTATTCCTTGCCCACAGCTCTTTTCCTCTCTACCCCTTAGAGGGGTCAAAAATAAATGAATAAATAGATACATAAATAAATAAAAAGAAAAAAAAAACAACAACAAAAAAAGGTCAACATTTCACCTGTTAACCTCGAACAAATATGGCTGCCAGTTTTTTTTTTGTTTTTTTTTTTCTTTTGGTGGACTTCCAAAATGTTTTTTTTTGGTTGTTTTTTCATTTTGTCATAAAAAAATGTGATAATGTGTCTAACACTAACCAATTTCTATTGTATAGGCAGATGTCCAAAGGATGAGCCAGTCATGCTGAATCCTCCATCTTGGTTTCAGTTTGCATGATGACTGTAGTTTTACAACAGTAACTGAGTTACTTAACTTTTTTTTCTTCTTGTGGATATTTTTTGCACCAGGGAAGGCTAGTCATGATATAGTAACATATATATATGAATATATATATATATATATATAATCGGTACATATAGTAACTTAGGTTATTTTACCTTTTTTTGCGGTCAGAATTGCTCCCTGCTTTAATCCCACACCGCAGTGGTTCACAGTTTAATGCGATTAAAGAATGAAATCAAGAGGAAACAGCAAGTAAAAGAAGGAGCGGGGTGTATGGGAGTTCACGTTGTGTGTGCGTGTGCGTAAGAGGGCATGTGGTATGACAGTGCAAGGGCAGTTTCATAGGCTGGGCCAAACGGGCAAACTGTGCACCCAGTTTATTTAGATTAGGAAGAAAATTAACATAAAACAAAATCACCTTTGTAAAGGCAGCCTGGCCCAGCCTACCACGCCATGGATCCATAGCCCTGAGACAGCCACAGACCCCAGACACCCCCCTCCTGATTTATCACCCCCCTCAAACATGTTTAAAACATGTTAAACATTGTTCATGGGAAAATCATGCATGTTTCTTTTTTATGCATTTTTACTTCTTTTCTTTTTTTCTTGTTTTTCTTTTAACCAAAAGCTTAAAGATTATCTGAGGTCTTTTGAAGAACTCAGAAACTCAGCCCCCCTCCTTCCCCCTTACTTGCCAGTCTATTCTCTCATCTCCACCTCTCAGCTCCTTCCTCCTTCTTTACTAAAACCTTTTTCATTTGCTACTCTACCCTAGAATCCACACTTTGTCTTCATTTTCATACAGGCGTAGTGCGCCGATTGGCTGCCGAGTCTTTGAGGTCCTTCTGTACGCAGTTGTGGACCTGTAGGAAGTTGTGGTCCCTTTCTGTAGAGTTATACGTTGCTGTCGGGGTGCCCGTCTGGCCCTTGGGCAACGTGTACATAGACAGCTCGGTGGAAGGCAGTGTCCCGAAGGCCTTCAGGCCCACTGGTGATGCCTCACGAGAGTGTGAGGGATCCGTGGAACGGGATGAGGAACGCGAGCGGCGTCTATAGCGATAACGGTAGCTCGGGATTCGTGTGATGGCAGCACCTTGGAGGTAGTCTGCAGCACGTGCACCAACTCGCAGCTCCCGGTGGCGGTCAATAAACATGTGTACTGCTAGCACACCCACCATTTCAGCCATGATGAAAGAGAGGGCACCAAAGTAAAAGGACCAGCCGTATGAGTAGCTGTTCTTCTTGGAGTCACTCTTTGAGGGGTCACCAGCGTTGGCTGATATATATACAATGATTCCTATAATGTTGCTCAGGCCTGAGGAAACAACAACAACAACAGTAAAATTAGATAAATACATGCGGTGAAATTTACAGGTTATTGCATTAAGCAAATAACAATTTCAAAGTTTGAGGATGACTAATGGCACCATACCATACTGTACCGTACCCCAACACAGCTCATACATAGAAGTGTTTACATAGGACAGGTTCATATGAAGGATAAAAGATTATGATTCAGAAGAAAATCCCCACCAAGTTAGAAGATAAGGAGAAAAAAAGGTTCAAAAACAGGAGGAGGTGGAGCAGGCTGGACCTACAGCAGCAGCAACAGTAGCTTAATGCTTGTTTTAGGAGCCATAATTGCTCAAAGTGACAAAAGTTGACATGAGAAAAAAAAAACATTTCCACACACCAGCAGAAAAGAATCCGAATGCACATAAAAAGCAAACCATGAGTGCAGAGAAGGGGCATGCACTCAAGCTTGAAATACATTAGGCGGTGCTACGGTTTTCAATCTCCACTCAGAGAATGCTCAAAATGCACGTGGAGAGTAGTTTGCCATGCATGTGTTTTTTTTTAAAAAAAACTGATCTTAACAGTATTTCTTATGGGTGTGCACTTTTGGCAGAATTCTGACTTCTTGGTAACTGTATAAACTGGGTCTATGAGGTGCTACTTAAATGTTACTTTGCAACTTTTTTTAATTTTCATGTAAAGCTAAACTGTCTCTGTGCTGAACTCATAGGGCTGAAACAGTGCTTATCTCAGCTGAACTTTCCTATTTCTTCAAAAGGTGTGTGTTGGCTCAAACAGTTTTTTACATGATGATCACAACCCTGCGTTTGGGAACAAAGAAAACTCACTGAGACCCAAGACCCTGTGTGAGGTATCTTGCGGCAGCGACTGAAAGAATACTGAAGATACTTTAAATATGCAAGTATTACATACTGTTCAATAACTGATAAGTGCTTTAATTAAGAGTCATTTTCATTTGAATGGCTTTACTGGAGGCCCCCATGTTTGTAAAAGAACACTACTTCCACCTACCGGTTTGTGACGTCACGGTGCGGTATCAGCTGTTAATCAAGTCCCAATGCTGTATCTGATCTTCATCATAAAGCGCTATTATGCAAGTCATCTTGAAAACATTCTTCTTTTAAAAGGTTGCCTACATATTACATGTTTTTTTCTCCGGACGGACGTTCGATAGCAAATCATCCCTCTTCAAGTTGGCAATCCAACAACGAACAAGTGGTGGATCACGAGTGGAAAAGTTTAAATAACTAATTTTTCTTTCACTTTTACCCAGTGTATTACAACATCCAACTGCCATGCATGTGGGCATTTTCAGTTTAACCATAGGTCTTGCGAATTTCAATGGCAAAGTCCTCCGGAAATCTAAAATAATTTTTTCTGATTGCAGGGCTGTCTAGTAGTTCCCATTGATTTTGCTTGTAAAGCGGGGAGAATGGCGCTCGGCTTACCACACCGTGATGTCACTGCCCAAAGATGTCAAGAGTGAGGTGTTACTATATTTGGACAAAAATGGCCGGTCCCAGACTCAGTGATTGCGATGAAAATTATTGCCCTTATTTTTTTTATGACTAACGCTAAATTAATTAAATCACTGCAAACGTTTTAGTTTTAGGTAGAGATAATGATTATTTCTTGTTGACCGGACTTCTTCTTTAAGGCATCCCTCATCCTATAAATGGTGTAAATATTAGCAGGTAAGCAAGCTTGAAGGATGCAGTTGCATTTTTCCTGCTGCTCTGCAACTCCTTGATCTATCCCTGCTTGTGCCTTGTCTTTTCTGAGTCCTCTCTTCATATCACCTGAATTCAAACAATAGATCTGATCAGCTGTTCTCGCAAAGCAATTAATCAAATTTTCTCAACTGGAATACAATGAAAAGGGGACCCTTCCTTTCCTTTACATACTTCGTGGGATACACCATGGACTCCTGGAAGGCTTGGAGGATAGTGTGTTTTTCAGTGTTGTCAGTGGAGGATATCGAAGATGGATGAATTTTCAGATTTATGATACTTGGATTTCTCCTGTTTGGATTTGGAGGACCTGATGTATCTACAATTACAGAGGATGTCGGCGGCAATTTGGGCATTGATCAGGTTGCTGGCAGCGGTTGATGCGCTCACAAAGGCTGTGAACAAGCAGGACCAGGAGCTGAACCGTATCCTGGGTGCGATTGATCGCACGCTGCCTGTGGTGGTTGAACTCTAAGGTGAGATGGGATAATATCTTGGATGTGCGCGCTCACTTCAAGGCGGAAAAGCCCAACAACAATGTAGCTTCAATTTATATATTTATAGAATTGCATTTGTAAGAGAACATAGGGTGAAACAGGGTTTTGCTATGTTAAAACAAGAACAAAATGAACTAAATGTTTTAATCCCACTCTTGCATCCTATATGAAACATCATACCACTCTGAAACAATCTCTGGAGTGTGAAATCACCAAACAAAATACAGCCAGGGGAAGATATATATTACTACTCATGCTTTCTTACAGTTTTTGCTATACAATAAACATAACATTAAACATTTTTTCTCTTTGTGACTAAATATAATTTACTTACCTGAGAGAAAAAAATAAATAATTTGTTTGTTTTTATCCAGATGGTTGCCTCTCAGAGCCAATCAAATTAAAAGACTGATTTAATGTTCACCTTTAGCATGTTTTAAGATTAGAAGGGGAAATAAGGGCCAAATAAGAATCCAGTATGACAGCTGCTTTGTTGCCGCACATAAAATGTTTTAATTAACATACTTTGTTAATCTTTTCAAGCTGTTCTTATTTTTCCCTCGTTTATAGTTTTCTCCCCATGTATTAGGGTGATTTTCTCTTAGGCTACAAATATAGGCTGATACAGACAGAGAGTCAAACAAAAACATTGCATAAATATAACAAAGAGTAAATTTTATATCTTGTTTCCCTTTTTATACAAAGGCCTGATTGAGATGGATCAAAGTAAACTAGTATCAGGGACACCTTATTTTTAGAGTGCAATCCCAGTGGCCTCCTCTAAGCCTAGCAACAGGGTGAGAGAGACAGACACAGCAAAAATTATGGAACAACACGGACAACTTCTCAACTTAGCGGTGAACTAGTTATCTAGTGCAGCACAGTAGGCCACGACCTAGAACCTTAACACACAGTAAGAGATGAAAAAGTGATCACTGATTGGAAACTTGCCGTCTATTTGTCTGCATGGATTCATGACATAGATAAAACAACCAAATATGCAGTGATATTCAATTACCTGCTTTATATTAGCCTTATTTTTTATCTTCAGTTATCTGGTTCAGGTAATTTAAGGCAGTAAGGTGATATTGATTTCTATCATCTTATACTGGTTGCTCCAATTAGCTTTATCTATGACTACAGTAGAATACCAATCTCTCAGTTTATCCTATAATTAAACATCGGGAGCAAGTCTGAGGTTTTTGATTTTTAGATTTGATTCATTCTGTATAACTTTTATATCCAAATGTTTAAATCAGTTCATTATTCGCTCAGTATGATAGCTTTCTTTTTAGAGAAGTTTTTGTATAAAAAAAAAACAAAACCACTTTCTTCACTTTTTCTGGAATAAATTCACCTTGATCCATCCAACTTTAATTCTCAGTTTCTCTCGGCCAGATATTTATTCTTTTTTAGTTTCTTCCTCTCTTCCTTTCATCCCTCCCATCTCCTTCTTCTCCTCTTCCTCCCTTCATACCTGCAGAGACGAACAGAATGCCAGCGCTGAGGATGATGTTGTGGCGTGACTTGTAGAATTCACTGGCGGCGATACAGAGCCCCCCCATGAATAGAAGGATCACACTCAGGATTGGGAAGATGCTGGAGGCTCGTACTGCACCTAGAAGGACACAGAGGCAAAAAGAGAGCTCTCACTGTGGGTGCCTGAGCCACAGATACAGGTAATATTGTAAATAAAATAACCATATTAGTAACAGTGACAAAGCTTATTGCATAAATGATAGTATATTTTGACTGGATTACAACTAAATAAATAAGATAAAAAAAATAAATAAATCAGAGCTTGAATAAAACCAATAAAGCTATCTGCAAAAAATTAGAGCATTTTTTGTAAAGTTGGCTGAAATAACATATTTTTCAATGTGGGGGTTGATTTATCTTTAAGTTCCACAGAGATCTGGTCATGAACCAATTCATTCAAAACACAGAAAAGATCTAAAACATGAAGGAAACTATCTGTTAAGACTGACTTTAAATGCTTCTGAAGTTAGAGGATTTTTTTTCACTACAGTACTTTTTGCATGTAGGCACTTTGGTCTTATTTAACTAGAGCTTCAGCCTAATCCCCTACCTTTACTTGAAACAAAAGTAACCCATCACGCTATGTATGCAGTGCATATATGACGAAGAGACTTCACATCAACAGGCATCTCCTCCACAGTAACTATTTGTCTGTATTGGTAGGTTCACAGTTGTTCTTTTCCGTTTTCCATTTTTAGATCATACATTTAAGAGAATTTAATATCATTTTATTTTAAGTTTTAAGTTTAATATCATTTTATAATTCAAGCATTAGTTATCTTTAGATCTAAGATGGCGCCGCGGACAGCTGACTCAGTATATTGGTGCGCTCTCTTTTGATTTGTTTTACAATTTAATTCTGTTTTTTTCATAAAAATTAGGGCAAAATCATCAGAGGATTTCTTCCCAACTTGTTTTCTCCCTACAATCTCTTTCTGTTTCTGATTATCCATCCATCCATCCATCCATCTTCCTCCGCTTATCCGGGGTCGGGTCGCGGGGGCAGCAGCCTAAGAAGGCTGATTACCTGTCTCCTGTATTTCGTGGCCCAAATAAATTTTTTTCAGGAATGTTCCGAACAATCTACCATCACACATTAGTTATATTTCTACTGAGGTTAGATTATACCCTTTGGACTCAAGCATAGTTCAGTTTAGGAAGCAATTAGTAGCAATCAATTTAATTTAACAGTCTCAAAATTTCTGTGGCCAAAAACAAATTTGCAGAAGGCTTTTCATATTTATTCTGCTTCTTAACGATTTTGAAAAGACATAAATCCTTTTAATCTGACTTTATAATTATGTGTTGCTTTTTGTTTGTCCAACTCCCAATAAAACCCATCAAGGAATGTGATTGTAACTCAATATTTTTAATTTATGAATACTTTTGTAGGCCACTATTTATATCTTAAGCATTTACACTGTTACTTAATAAAAATATTAGCCTGACGTAGTCCTACTTAATTCTAGTCAGAATATGAGTCTGATACTGCTCCATAGAGCTGTGATTATGGGGCGTGTTTCGAACGAACCAGGAAGAAAAAAACCTCTGTACTCAATTGGATAGACCTACAACCAATAAGAGCAACGGAGTG